GAGCCCTGGATGAGACTCTGGAGCTGCGGGGGCTGCGCTACCACCCCATCGACATCGAGACCTCGGTGTCCCGGACCCACAGGAGCATTGCTGAATGGTAACACAGCCCCCCACAGGAAGGCTGGGCTCCTCCTGGCCCAGCTGAAATGCAGCAGTTGAGGCAAAGGTGCAGGGTTTAATCAGGAAAAAAAAACAAACAGGGAAATTCGGATTTTTTTTCTGTTGGGAAATTCAGATTTATCCGCGTTGCCCTCGGCCGGTCCCGCACCTGATTTCCACACAGAACAGACTCAGTGCCTGATTTCCACACAGAACAGACTCAGGGTTTTCTCACGAGCCTCAGCATTGAACAGAAATGATGATTTGCTGCTTTGGGGTGTAAAGAGCCACTTCTCAGTCGGGGGCAGCAGCGTTGTTGGGTCACACGGGTGGTGCTGAGGTGGCTCTGAACTGGTCTCTGACACGTCAGGGCCGGGTCACCTCGGGGTTAGGTTGGAAATGCAGCCCAGAGCAGGTGGGAGACTCCACCTGAGGATAAGCAGCTGGAAACTTTGGGTCTTTGTGACAATAACCGGGCGTTCTGTTGGTTCTCCTTTGCCCTTCCAGTGCCGTGTTCACCTGGACCAACCTGCTGGTGGTGGTGGTGGAGCTGTGTGGCTGCGAGCAGGAGGCTCTGGATTTAGTCCCTCTGGTGACCAACGTGGTCCTGGAAGAGCATTACCTGATCGTGGGCGTGGTGGTGGTGGTGGATCCCGGGGTCATCCCCATCAATTCCCGAGGCGAGAAGCAGCGGATGCACCTCCGGGACAGTTTCCTGGCGGATCAGCTGGACCCCATTTACGTGGCCTACAACATGTGATGGCAGGAGCTGCAGGAGCCCAGAAGGACCAGGGTGGTGATGGAAGTGAAGCTGGTGAAATTACTAATACTTGACCTACAGGTTGAGGTTGCTGCCACATTCCTTCCCTCCCGGCCCCGGGGAGCGGAGGGAATTTGGGAGGCGACTGGCAAACCTTTGTAACAGTTTACTGAACACATGAGCTTTAGAGAAATGCAAAGTGGAAAAGTGTGTGAGCTACAAAACCCCCAAGGCCTTTACAGTAGTGTTACTTTTTCATCCGTTGTACATATTTGTATTTTTATCTAATCCCGGGGTAGGATTCTATAAGGGGAGGGTTTATTTAGTTAAGATAATAAACTATTAAGAAAAAGGGTCATCAGAGTTCTGCAGTTCCCTGCTCCATGATCTCCTTTGCATCTGGAGCTGTTCATCCCCTGGGATCACACACCTTATTGACAATTGTGCCATGACCAAATCAATAACTTACGGAATCGAAGAGTTACTTATTCATAGAGAGATTTCTGGAATTTAAAAAAAGAATTTTGCCTATATTTTAAATATGTAAATATTATTATACATAATTCACTTAGCTAGAAAATTAACTTGGCTAATGAGGACAGCTGAAGGTTGATGTTTTTAAGGACAGGTGACTTTTGTGGTCCTCAGCATCCTGGCATTGGCTTAGACACAATGTGAGATGCTCCCACCTTCCACAGGTTTCTGATTTCATTTGTCTCTTCATTCTGGCCAGAAGTGTGTCAGAGCATGTAGAACCTTTGATATTAAGGCACATCTTCCTCCAAGAGATGAATTTAAAACGTGGAACTGGGGAGAAATGGCAATGCAAGTCCCGAATCCTGAACTGGAATGATGCAGCCTCTGCCTCATCCTCTGGCTCCAGGTGTGGGAAGGAAAACCATTCCTTAGGTGGACACACAGGTAACTCCCCTGCTTGTGCCATCCATGACTCCTTCCATCCCCAGGAAATACTGTAAATAGGCTTTAATAAAACTGGGAGCCAACAGCCCATCTTCCCTCAGAGCATTCCCTGGAAAGAGCAGGAGAATCCTGGGTTTGAGCGGGATGCAGTTTTTATTTTACAGGAGACAGAGCAATTGTGGCAAACACAACGTTCAGTAATGTTGTGCAAACTGCTCTGCCAGCCTTCCACCTCCTGGGTCAGCTCCAAAGTCAGGGAATGGGAAGAAAGAGAAGCCTTAGAGAGCAGCAGGGACAAGCTTTTCCTGCTGGGAAGCCCTTCCACGGAGCCGGTGGTTGAGCTTTGACTCAAAAATGACCTTTTCCGTTTTAACACCTCATCTTTCAATAGCAATTACATTCCTCTGGGTGCTAAAATATGATTTTGGAAGCCTTGGGGGCTGCTGCCAGATCCTGCAACAGGGTTTTTTTTTCGGGTCCCATGTGGTATATACAGTGTAAATATAAAACTTTTCAGATGTTCCAGATACCTCATGCAAAGTTTTTAGGCCGTTTTTAAAAAGGTTCGTGGTGTGGACTCGGAAGATCCTGTGGCAGTTCCTGGAGCAGGACCCGGTGGATCCGTGGGCAAAGCCCAGCCATGTCCTGGAAAAAAAAAAAAAAAAAGCTCCTGCTGCATCCTGGTTAGTTCCTCACCGAAAAACGGGAGCTTTAAAAAAAAAAAAACCTCAGAGAAGAAGTTTTGAAAGTATATTTTTGAAAAAAAAAATAAATAAAAATAAAAATAATAAATATTTGGTGGGGAAATAGCTTTAGGAACTGGAAGTTTTCTGGCAGGCCTGGGCCGAAGGTTCTTTGCAAACACTTTGGTTCACGGGGGCACGTTTTGGAACCTTTTCTGTGTTTTCCACAGTGGCAGCAGAATAGGCACCAAATCTTTAGTGTGTTTAGTTTTAACAAATTGACCACAAAGTGGGGACAGCGACAGGGGAAACTGTGACTAACACAGTTGGTCCTGCAGCTTGTTTTGGGTGTAAAGTGCACAAAGGTTGTTCTCCCTTTACAGCCAGAAAATTCCTGTTATTCCATGTTCTGTGTCACCATTTTTGTGTTTCTTGCACAGCCCAGGCCTGGCCGAGCAGCTTCACTCCAATGTGACCTTTCCAGGGAAAATTCTGGTGGTCTTGGACCTTTTTCTTTACTCAAAAGCTTTAGTTAAAATTGTTTCAGCAAACGCTTTTTGTCCCCTGGAGTGGATTTTAAGTCCGAGTCCAGGAATGTCATTTATTTTTCCTCGTGATCCTTCGCAAACGAAACAATGTGTGTGTGAATTCCAGCAGAGATTCCCAAGTGTGGTAGGTGGCCTTCCCAAAATGGCATTTTTGAATGAGACTGGATCCATTTGATCTCGTTTTCCCTTTATTTTTTCGTTTGGATGGGCACCGATGGCTTTTCAGGCCTCGGGGGCTTTTCTCTTGCCATTCCCTGGGTGCTCCGAGTCTTCCTTCCAGCACGTTCCATTTCTCTGGGCTGGAGAACTGCAGGATGCAGGGAACATTCCAGGGACATGGAGCAGCTGCTCAGTTTGTGCTTTGTCCCTGTTTTGGCACAGTGGGAAGCAACGTGCTGGAGAGGAGGAAGGATGGAGCCGGGACTCCGGAATCCCCAAATTCTTCCTCCGGCTCCACGAGCTTTCCACAGGTCATTCCACTCCTTCCATTCCTTCCTCTGGGATTTTTCCATATGGGAACAAACCAAGATCCTTCTCTCCAGACACTGGCAGGGGCAGGGCTGGGTGCTTTTCCCCAAAAAACAGCCTCTCCCCCCTGGTTTGACCTCCCAGCTCCTGGAGTTGCACAGGGCACATTTTTCCTTCCTCTTGTCCATCAGATTCCAAGCTTAGCAACTGCAGTGAAACTGAAAAACTGGGAATTCTTCCCACTGGACTAAACTAGTGTGTATGTCTCACTGTTTCTGGATTTACCCTGAGCAAACTGTGTGGGAACAGGTCGGTTTTATCCTCTTCTGTTGGAATTTGCACTTCATTTCTGGTTTAAATCAGCGGAATTCAGCTGTTTCCTACTAACTGCTCTAAAATAAGGTTGTAAAAACCAGATCAATTTTAGCCCTAGGTGCATTTGTTTTCCTTTAATTTCTGTCAACCTCTTTCCCATTGTCCAATCCAGACTCCGGCGTTTCTGTAATTATGTATAAAGGTTTTATTTATTTAAAATTAGCTTAGTTACATTTTTAAATTTAACACCTGGCTGGACAGTGTCCCATTAACGCATTGATTGTGTTTCCTTTGTCTTGTGTTAATAAATATTGATGCCTGGTTGCTCGTTTAGTCCTTGAAGACGCTGTTTCCATGAAGGAATTTTTGGGTTTTTTTTTTTAGGAGTGAAATGTGGGTTAATGTTGATCCTGGGGAGAGGGAGAACTTGTGTTTTAGGTTTTGTTCATTGTATTGAGAGGGGTCTGAGCCATGAGGGAGTGAAGGGCTGGATGGGTGTCCTGGACCTGCAGCTCTGTGAATATGATTTTTTGGAGATCAGAGCTGGGGAAGGGGCTGGAGCACAGGGAGAAGGGGCTGGAGAACTCCTGAGGGAGCTGGGGAAGGGGCTGGAGCACAGGGAGAAGGGGCTGGAGAACTCCTGAGGGAGCTGGGGGGGCTCAGCCCGGAGAAAAGGAGGCTCGGGGGGGACCTCCTCGCTCTCCACAGCTCCCTGATGGGGTTGGAGCCGGGTGGGATCGGGCTCTGCTCCCAGGGAATGAGGGATGGGACGAGAGGGAACGGCCTCAAGCTGTGCCAGGGGAGGGTCAGGCTGGAGTTTAGGGAAGATTTCTTCACGGAAGGGGTTGTCGGGCCTTGGCAGGGGCTGCCCAGCGAGGTTTGGAGTCCCCCCCATCCCTGGAGCCCGCTCGCGGCGTAAAACCCGGCCCGCGCCGCCCTTAGCCCGCGCATTGGGCGCGCTAAACCCCGCGGCGAGGGCTGGGAACACCGGGAATATCGGGAATAACGGGAATATCGGGAATAACGGGAATATCGCGATTTCCCCGGCGGCCCCCGCGCTCCCGCCCCCCCCCCCCGCGCCATCCCGGCCGCGGGGGGGCGCTGTCGCCGCGGCGCGCCGCTCCGCCGCGCGCTCTCTATGGTCGGGCCGGGCGGGGCCGGCGCTCAGGCGGCCGCTCTAGCCCGGCGCGCGCGCGCTCCGCGCCGCTGGCGCTCTATGGCGGGGGCCCCTGGGCGCGCTCTCTATGGTCGCGGCCCGCCCCCCCCGCCGGCGCCGCTTCGCTGAGGCGGGACCGGGCCGGGGCCGGGACCGGGATCCGGCGGCTCCGGCGCTCCCCACGCGCGGCCCCGCGGGGCTCTGAGGTAAGCGCGGGCTTGCGGAGGCCGCCCCGTCCCCCTTTGGGCCCGCCCGCCCCTTCACCCACCCCCCCGCCCCGCGAGGGCCGTGAGGGGACGGGCAACAGGCCGCGGCCTCGGCCCGGCCGATCCCGCGGGGAGCTCCGGCCGCTGCCGGGCCTCAGGCGCTGCCCCGCGGCCTGGCGCTGCTGCCGGGGCCGGGCCAGCTGCGCCCGGGGCTGTGTGGGGGAGAAAGGGGGTCTGGGGGTGACGGGGGGTCCCCCCGCTTCCCCCTCGCCGGGTCCCGTTCCCCCCATTCCCGCTCCCCCTCCCTGTTCCCGCTCCCCCGCCGCGTCTTGGGAGGGGGGAAAGGGGGCTCTGAGCGTGACGAGGGACCCCCCGGTCCCGCTTTGCCCCGGGGGTGGGGGTTTCAAAGGGGGTCCCCCGGTGCCCCCCGGCCCCGGGCAGCTTGTGACAAACCGCTCGTGGTGACAAACAGGAGCTTTATCGCTCATTAACCCGCCGTTTAATTAATGGCCGTCGGTCCCTGTTTTCCCAGGATTTTGCCCCAAACGGCGTTGGGGAGCCCCGGCTCCAGCGCTCGGGGAGGATGTCAGTGCTCTCGGGGGGATTTTCCTCTCCCAGCCCATCAGGTCCCCGGTGCCGATGGAATATTGAGGTTTTTGGGCTGCAGCTTTTGTGTCTGAAGCTCCTGTCGGGGATGTTCCTGTACGGGCTGGGAGGATGGGGGGGGGGGTGTGAGTGGAAGAAAACACACGTGCAGAGCGCTCCTGGAGTTTTAAGGAATATCTCTGCGTGTTTGTGGAATGGGCTCCAGGGCTTTGCCCGGGCGCGTTGACTCGGGGCTCCTCACAGCTGGTGGGATGTGCTGCCCTTCTCTCTGTCTTTCGCTAATTTCGGGGGAAAAAAAACGGACTTCTGACAGTTTTCTGGATGAACGAAATTTCCCCAAGCGTCTTAATTGCAAAATTAGGTAAAAAAAAAATCTTTTCACTGCCGAAAGCAGCTGATTTTAAGGCACTGAAGAACTCCAAATTTCCCCAGATTGCTTCAGTATCATTTAAAAAAAAAAAACCTTCTAAATCCCTTTGAGCAATTTGTAAATGTCAGAATTTGTCTCCTTTCACTGAGTATTTGAGAACAAATGCCTTGTCCAATATTCTTTGACTTCTGGCTTTATAAAGCCTTTAAAAATACGATTAATTGGCTCTTACAATATTTCAGTGGTGAAACATCGTTTAGGGCCTTTCCTCTGCTCGATTTAAAAGGGCAAAACAAGCACTTGGTTTCTTCTTCTGGTGCTCTTCGTAGCATTTTAGGGAATTTAGAGAATTAGTGAAAGTTTTAGGAATGAGGCATTTTGGGTGTTTCGGGGGGGTTTGGCTGGTGGGTCACACTGAGGGATTTTGGGGGGGGGTCTGTGAGCTTTGGGGTGAGAAATGGAACATGCCCACGATGAACTGTGACATTCCTGCTTCTGTTTGAGATCCTTGGCTGGAGGGAGATGATGCCCAGAATTCTGGGAGTCCTTGAAGTCCTTTCATGAGCTGCTGCTGGAGGATCCTCTCAGTCACATGACTTTTGAGGTGTAGCTGCCTGGAGACTTTGGTTTTGCCCTGAAAAGCATCACCTGTGCCTGTCTGACTGTAAAACAGTGGGGTTTGTCCACATTGGGGCAATAATTGGATAATAAACCCTCCTGCCAGGGCTCTGTGACAGGTAAAACTCTTCCTTCACCCCAACATGAGCAGCTCTTTCAGCTCAGTAAATCCAAATTCAGCTCTGGGACTGTGCTCAGGGATTTCCCTTTTTGGGGCTTCTTGTCAGAGCTTGAGACCTGCAGGCTGAGGTTTTTCCCTGGAGCTTCCCTCTGCGAGCTGCTGGGTGCCAGTTGCTGTCTCAGGTGCTCACAGGAGGCCGTTCCAATAGGAAATTCCAGTAGGAAATTCCCGGTTTTCCAGCTCAATAGGTTGTTTCAGCAAGGTAAAGGCACTGAGAGACTGTCACATCCCCGGAGGGTGTGAGGTGCAGGGGGAATTCCCACCTTGTTGCAACCCCTGCTGAGTCTCCTCCTGAAAACATTGTTGTACTCAAACAGATTGATGTTGGATGAATAATTAAACATTGCAGAGCAAGCAGAGATGGAGTCAGCTCAAAAAACCACATTTTTGATGGGAAGTACTTCGTCTTTTATTCCTGTAAAGCAGAACTTCACACCCATGAGAGAGAGATCAGCAAACCCTCTGTGCTCCCTCCCCGGGGTGCTGCTTTTGGGTGCTTTTATCGGTTTCACTGTTTCTTGCAGGCTTGGTTTGAGTCTTTCCTGGGACAGCGAGGCAGAGAAAGCAGTGGCAGAGGGAGGGGAGGGCAGGCTGTGGTTTGGCACCACAGAAACGAACAGGGGCTTTTTGGGGCACTGGAAATTTATTGTCATTTTTGCTGCTGCTGGATTTCGGTTTGAGGGGCCCCCGGTGGGTGCAAAAGTAGATTATTTTTTTTTCCTTCCCCTTATAAAAGCTGAAGCTGCATTAGAGGACAGACAAAGTTGTGTCCCCTGCACATGTTTGTCATTAATTCTGCTCCTCATTTTGATGTGGTTGATGTTTGCAGCCACGAGGACCTTGGGAAGCTGCATCATGTGCTGGGGAGGGTTTGGTCTGTGCTGTAAAGGACACATGGAATCACAGAGTCCTGGAATAGTTTGGGTTAGGAGGGACCTTAAAGATCATCCAGTTCCAACCCCCTGCCATGGGCAGGGACAACTCCCACTAGCCCAGGTTGCTCCAACCTGGCCTGGGACACTCCCAGGGATCCAGGGGCAGCCACAGCTTCTCTGGGCAACCTGTGCCAGGGCCTCCCCACCCTCCCAGGGGGGAATTTCTTCCCAATATCCCACCCAACCCTGCCCTCTGGCAGTTGGAAGCCATTCCCCCTTGTCCTGGCACTCCAGGCCCTTGGAAATAGTCTCTCTCCCCCTTTCCTGCAGGTTCCCTTCAGGTCCTGGAAGGCCACAATGAGGTGACCCCAAAGCCTTCCCTTCTCCAGGCCGAACAATCCCAGCTCTCCAGCCCTTCCTCCCGGCAGAGCTGCTCCATCAATGTTTCTTGTGTCGCCCAAGCACCGTTTTTGTCCCTCCAAAGCCCTGCTTTAGCTCCTGCCCCGGGGGAGTCCCAGCTGGGACCCCTGGCAGCCGAGGCTGCAGGAGCAGGACTCTGCTCTCCGGTGCCTTTTCCCCCTCGGAGCGTTCGCTGCGGTTCAGCTCAGCAGGGAAAAATCAGTGACTCACATTTCCACAGAAAGCAGTGTAATTTCCAGTCTCATAGCAACTGTCCTTTCAACACTTTCAAACCTTCTGTGACAAAATGTTTAACGCTCGCCCATCAGCTTTTTAATGCTCCAGGCTGGTCCGCCCACTCCCCCCAGCTGAAACCTGCGCTTGTGCATCCCTGAATCCCCCAATATCTGAGGGGGGGGGGGATGCTGGCAAGACGTTGAACAGTTAAATATAAAATCTTAGACATGAGAGAGGTGTTGGTGACTGCATTACATGGAGACAGAGTGACTCTGGCAGGGCTTAAAATTCAAAACTGTGCTCTCTCTCCACTTCGATTCGAATCCCCGGTTTGTTTTTATACACCTTCAGATGGTTTAAAATAGGCCTGGCTAGAAGATCTTCTGGGAAATTCTCTTGCTTAGAGCAAGATAGTATAAAGAATCTCGGTTTTCTTCCTGGATCTTCCTTCCCACTGCCAGAGGGCAGGGTTAGGTGGGATATTGGGAAGAAATTCCCCCCTGGGAGGGTGGGCAGGCCCTGGCACAGGTTGCCCAGAGAAGCTGTGGCTGCCCCAGCCCTGGAAGTGTCCCAGGCCGGGTTGGAGCAACCTGGAACAGTGGCACAGGGTGGAATGAGATGATCTTTAAGATCCCTTCCCCCTTGTTAACTGGATTTCCCTGGTTTTCCCCCAGCTATGATGGAAGAGGTGCACAAGGGCAGCAGCAGCAGCTCCGTGACGCCGTCCCAGCCCTCGGCCGTACAAGGTACAACCCTCCAGGCAGCTCAGCTCTCTCATATTGCTCAACAGGTAAAGCCTGGGCCGCATCTCAGCAAACATTTCAGGGCCTTCAGAGCCACTTTTTTATGTGCCACAAACCACAGGGTCATTCTTAGAAGCGCGTGGAGAAGAAAAACCGGGAAGAGGTTGAGAAAAATGTGTTTGTTTGTTGGTGAACGATGTCAAATTAATGGAAAAGTGTTAAAAAAGTTGATTTTTGGGCTTGTGCGGTGCAGAAGTGCAGCCCAGAGTCGGGGTTAGGCGACCACAGGAGCTGCTCAGGAATAAATCAAGGGCCTGGTTTCATTTTTTGCTCAGGAAAAGCATTTTCAGCTCCTTTTGTAGTAACAGCAATGCTGGGTGTGCTCAGCACCATGGAAACACTTGGATTTTAGCCCAGCATGAACATATTAAATATAATAAATCACATGAAGTTGGAAATGTGAGATTCTTCCTCCAAGGTGACATCCCTGTCAGAGCTTTAACCCCCAACCCCTCAGGATTCAGCTTTTGCTGCACCTGAGAGTGAATCCTTCCAGGAGGGTTTTCCTGGGAAACAGAAACGTTTTGCAACTCATCCACTGTTCACCCTGTGGAGACAATTGGTATTTTGGTGCCAAATTTGGATTTAAGAGAGGAGAGAATATCAGCAGGTGGCCTGGGGTTTGTTTCCAGGCTGGTTTTATGCTGGTTTTATATAAAGTTCTGAATGTCCCTTAATATTGTGATTTATGATACAAAAATAGCCTGAAGTGGAAATTCAGCTGTGTGAGTGTTAATGATCCCTTCATCTTCTCCTGTATTTCAGATTAATAGAGGTAGTGAAGAAATTTGGTGAGGAAACTGGTTATTTACTTAGAGTCAACTTGAATTATTTTTGGTTTGTGAACATGTGAACGATATCAATTGAATTAAAGTGGAAGGATTTATGTGAGTTCAGTGTCAAAGCTACAAACCCTCCAGGAAATTTGCATCTTTTTAATCTTAATATGTGACATAACGTGACACATTTGATTTCCCCCAACCAAAGGGAATAAAAACCTGTTCCGTGTGTAAGTACTGCCTCAAAACTGTTGCATCTTTAAAGGTACTTTTGTGACTTAATTAGAATTAAAAGAAGCTCCTGGCAGTTCTCCCCCAGCTGCACCTCCCGAGCCCCCTGGCATGGAGGTTTCACTGCTGGTTTTGGCTCTGTTGTAGATGTCTCTGTGAGGTTCTGCTCTGGTTTTGGCTCTGTTGTAGATGTCTCTGTGAGGTTCTGCTCTGGTTTTGGCTCTGTTCTAGATGTCTCTGTGAGGTTCTGCTCTGGTTTTGGCTCTGTTGTAGATGTCTCTGTGAGGTTCTGCTCTGGTTTTGGCTCTGTTGTAGATGTCTCTGTGAGGTTCTGCTCTGGTTTTGGCTCTGTTGTAGATGTCTCTGTGAGGTTCTGCTCTGGTTTTGGCTCTGTTTTAGATGTCTCTGTGAGGTTCTGCTCCGGTTTCACTGCTGGTTTTGGCTCTGTTGTAGATGTCTCTCCGAGGTTCTGCTCCCCTGACGGTCGTTCAGCTTCCAGGAGAGCAAGTCCAGGTGCAGGGAGTGATCCAGACAGCCCAGTCCTCCTCGGTGATCCACTCCCCTCAGGTGCAGACCGTGCAGGTAACTCCAGCAGGGCTCTCCCACCCCAAACCTCGGCACTTCTGTGGGTGAGAAGATGTGCAAAGGCTTGTCTGACCCTCAGTGCCCCGTGAGAGGCAGAGAGGGATCCAGGGACAATCCTGTGGGACACAACATCCCTCCTTTGGGCTGGCAATGATTTGTGGTGCTGGACTCACCTTTGGAGTTCCAAATAAACGTTTAACCTTTGTTAACAAAGGCCTCCCTTTGTTAACAAGCCCAGCCCACGGCTCTGGGGCTGTGCCTTGGCAGACAGGGAACTGGGGTTTGGTCCCCAAAGCAGGGGAGTAATGGAATAGTTAAAACTTGAATTCCGATGAGTCTTTGGGAAAGGTGGGCCTGAGTGAAGGGCTGAGCTGCTGCTCGCTCACCTCGTGCGCTCTGTGACTCCCTTTCAGAGGTGCCCAAGCCTCTGCTTGTGCCTCTTACTCACTTGCCACGTGATTGCTGTGAGTCACTTCCGAGAGAGAGGTGCCCGGGGAGTTCCAGGGAGGCTGTTCCTGCTCCAGTCAGTCCCTGCTGCAGAGCCCTGGGGCCACTGGAGTTGCCCTGGGAAGCCACTGCCCTGGCAGCGGGGCGAGGGTGGAGCTGCCCTAAAACACAGGAATTTGTCCCTGATCCTTGTCCCACACTCCTCATAGCACACTGAACTGATAAACCATGGGAAGCAAAGCTGGCAGGGATTGTCAGCTGCCACTGCTGGAAGTCAGAGCAGGGAGAGGAGAACACGTGTCGCTCCTGAAAGCAGTGGAGCCTCTGCCCCAATCAGTTGTTGGTGCTCGTGTCTCCCTTAATCCCATTCCTTTTCCTTCCCCCTCCTGCAGGGTCCCACTGACTGGATTCTTTCCTCTTTTTTTCCTCCCCCATGTTATTTATGAACATTGTGGCCTTGTTGGGGGGGGAAAAAAGTACAACATGAGCAGGTTTTTTTTCCCTGCTGATCGTGGGCTGCTCTGTCTGTCTCTGCAGCTCAGTGGGAAAGGCTTTTCCCAGAGCTCTGTGCATTCCTCTGGACTCTGCTGCTGGCACACACATAAGAACAGATAAATATTTTCTTCACTAATAAGGAGCATCAGAGACAAAATAACACTTCAAGCACACAGTAGAATAAAGAAAGTTGTAGATAGTACTTTGCACGTTTACTCCCTGATACGCTGCTGCCTCAAACATTATTTTCCTTGGACTCGTGTTCTCACCGCCAAACTCCACTGCTCCTCTGCCTACAGAAACATCTGTGTTTGTCTCTGTGCATCACTGGTGTTCCTGTTCCCTCTCCCACCAGGTCTCTTCCTTGTCTGAGAGTGAGGATTCCCAGGACTCCTCAGACAGCATTGGCTCCTCGCAGAAGGCTCGAGGCATCTTGGCTCGTCGCCCCTCGTACCGGTACTGATGAGCTGGGACACACCTGGGGGTTCTGTCTGAAACCAAGAGAGGGGCTCCTTTCGATGCTTTCCCGTGCTCTGTCCACCTCCAAGTTGTTTCCTTTGCCTTGGAACATGCAGTGGGGCTGTTCATGCACTGAACACCCTGAGCTGACAGAGGAAACTTTGACTCCGCTGACTGGAGCAGCTGGGCCTCAGCACGATGTTGGGCAGGGGAAAATGTGCATCAGCTGGGATTTTACTCACTTGTATCATTTTGCTGAAAGTGGGGAGTGTAGCCAAATGTCAAACTCTTTTTTTTTTTTTTTTTTCCACAGAAAAATTTTGAAAGATCTTTCCTCTGAAGACACACGGGATAGAAAAGGAGATGAGGAAAGTCCCGGGGTCTCCACTGTCACCTCCATGTCCGTTCCCACACCCATCTACCAGACAAGCACTGGACAGTACAGTATGTTACCCAAAATACCTACACAGTTTTTATTCAAATGGCCTCAAAATACAGGTTTTGTTATATATTTGATTAAGGTGAAACTCAAAAGTTGGTTATTACCTAGCAGTCACTGGAGTTAGTAGAATAGAAATAACTGGTATCTAAGACTTTAGATAAACTCAGTCCTTTGTAATCTTAATTTTTGCACATTAAGACGTTTAAGGCTGTTGGTGTGAAGCACACAGCAGTGTTCTGTGCTGGATTTAACCCAAAATGTCAGCTCAGTGAAGACACCAATACATATATATATATATATATATATATATATACACATATATCATAGGCCACACCAAAAGGCTCCTGTGGTATCAGGGAGGCAGCAAAAAAATAGGATTTGTCCCTTTGATGTCATCAGCTGGTATTCACTGTGCTCCACACCTGCTCCAGCACGTGGAGCTCCTCCTCTCCATCCTCTGAGCAGAGGGTTTGTGCTTCAGAGCTCGTTTTCCTTCACTGGGGGCTCCAGGAGACCTGGGGAGGGACTTTTGGCGAGGAGCGATGGGCCAAGGGGTCCTGGCTTCCCCCTGGAAGAGGGCAAGGTTAAATGGGATACTGGGAAGCAGTTCCTCCCTGTGAGGGTGCTGAGGCAGTGGAATGCTCCTCCTGGAGGTGCCCAAGGCCAGGTTGGACGGGGCTTGGAGCAACCTGGTCTAGCAGAAGGTTTCCCTGGGAGTGGGACGATCTTTAAGGTCCTTCCCACCCCGCCCATTCCATGATTCCTTGATTTACCCGTGTTTTACACTGTCCAGCTCCCAACCCTGCTGTCCTGTCCCTTCCCCGCAGTCGCCATCGCGGCCAACGGGCTGCAGCTGGCGGGGCCGGGCGCGGACGGGGTGCAGGGGCTGCAGACCCTGACCATGGCCAACGCCGGCGGCTCCCAGCCCGGCCCCACCATCCTGCAGTACGCCCAGACCTCGGACGGGCAGCAGATCCTGGTGCCCAGCAACCAGGTGGTGGTGCAGAGTGAGTACCCCTGGGGTCACCCCCTTCGGTGTCCCGTTGTCCCCTCCTAACACTGCCCTGTTTGGTGTCCTGTTCCCTCCTAACGCTGCCCCATGTCTGGTGTCCCATTGTCCCCTCCTAACACTGCCCTGTTTGGTGTCCCATTGTCCCCTCCTAACACTGCCCCATTTGGTGTCCCATTCCCTCCTAACACTGCCCTGTTTGGTGTCCTGTCCCCTCCTAACACTGCCCCATTTGGTGTCCCATTGTCCCCTCCTAACACTGCCCTGTTTGGTGTCCCATTCCCTCCTAACGCTGCCCCATTTCTGGTGTCCCCAGCTGTCCCCTCCTAATGCTGCCCCATGTCTGGTGTCCCGTTGTCCCCTCCTAACACTGCCCTGTTTGGTGTCCCGCTGTCCCCTCCTAATGTTGCCCCATGTCTGGTGTCCTGTTGTTCCCTCCTAACACTGCCCCATTTCTGGTGTCCCCAGCTGTCCCCTCCTAACACTACCCTTTTTGGTGTCCTGTCCCCTCCTAACACTGCCCCATTTGGTGTCCTGTCCCCTCCTAACACTGCCCCGTTTCTGGTGTCCCGTTGTCCCCTCCTAATGCTGCCCCGTTTCTGGTGTCCCATTGTCCCCTCCTAACGTTGGCCTGTTTCTAGTGTCCCGTTGTCCCCTCCTAACCCTGCCCCATTTGGTGTCCCATTACTTCCTAACCCTGCCCCATTTGGTGTCCCATTACTTCCTAACACTGCCCCATTTGGTGTCCCGCTGTCCCCTCCTAATGTTGCCCCATGTCTGGTGTCCCATTGTCCCCTCCTAACACTGCCCTGTTTGGTGTCCTGTTCCCTCCTAACGCTGCCCCATGTCTGGTGTCCCATTGTCCCCTCCTAGCTGCCCTGTTTGGTGTCCCATTGTCCCCTCCTAACACTGCCCCATTTGGTGTCCCATTCCCTCCTAACACTGCCCTGTTTGGTGTCCCATCGTCCCCTCCTTACGCTGCCCCATGTCTGGTGTCCTGTTGTTCCCTCCTAACACTGCCCCATTTCTGGTGTCCCGTTGTCCCCTCCTAACACTGCCCTGTTTGGTGTCCTGTTCCCTCCTAACGCTGCCCCATTTCTGGTGTCCCATTGTCCCCTCCTAATGCTGCCCCATGTCTGGTGTCCCATTGTCCCCTCCTAGCTGCCCTGTTTGGTGTCCTGTTCCCTCCTAACACTGCCCCATTTCTGGTGTCCCATTGTCCCCTCCTAACACTGCCCCATGTCTGGTGTCCCGTTGTCCCCTCCTAACTGCCCTGTTTGGTGTCCCGTTGTCCCCTCCTAACGCTGCCCTGTTTGGTGTCCTGTCCCCTCCTAACTGCCCCGTTTCTGGTGTCCCCAGCTGCCTCTGGAGACATGCAGACGTACCAGATCCGCACCACGCCCACCACGTCCTCGCTGCCCCAGACGGTGGTGATGACGTCCCCGGTCACTCTGACGTCGCAGACGAGCAAGACGGACGACCCGCAGCTCAAACGGGAGATCCGGCTCATGAAGAACAGGTACGGGGGTGCCCCCGGGCTGCTGGGCCTGGGGAGGTCCATGTGCTGAAACCACAGAATTCCCGAGGTTGGAAAAGCCCTCCAGGACCGTCGAGTCCAGCCCGTGCCCGATGCCCACCTTGTCCCAGCGAGTGCCACGGCCAGGCCTTCTTGGACACTCCAGGGGTGGGGACTCCAAACCTCCCTGGGCAGCCCCTGCCAACGCTGCAGGTTGGCTGCAGTGTGTGTCACCAGATCCTGCTGAGTTTCCTGCTCTCCCCCTCTCTGGGTTAGGAACTGGCTGGAGGGCTGGGCCCAGAGAGTGCTGGTGGACGGGGCTGTATCCAGTTGGGATCTGGTCCCCAGTGGTGTCCCCCAGGGATCAGCGTTGGGCCCAGTCCTGTTTAATATATTTATCGATGATTTAGATGAGGGGATTGAGTCCATCATCAGCAAATTTGCAGATGGCACTGAGCTGGGGGGGAGTGTGGGTCAGCTAGAAGGTAGGAGGGCTCTGCAGAGGGACCTGGACAGGCTGGAGAGTTGGGCTGATTCCAAAGGGATGAGGTTCAACCAGGCCAAGGGCCGGGTCCTGCACTTTGGCCACAACAACCCCTGGCAGCTCCAGGCTGGGCCAGAGTGGCTGGAGAGCAGCCAGGCAGGAAGGGAGCTGGGATTTGGGATGGGCAGGGAGCTGAACAGGAGCCAGAGTGTGCCCAGGGGGACAAGAGGCCAATGGATCCTGGCCTGGCTCAGGAACAGGGTGGCCAACAGGGCCAGGGAAGGGATTCTGCCCCTGGACTCAGCGCTGGGGAGGCCACCCCTGGAGTGCTGTGTCCAGCTCTGGGCCCTCAGTTCAGGAAGGACATGGAGGGGCTGGAGCAGGGCCAGAGGAGAGCAACGAGGCTGGGGAAGGGACTGGAGCACAAGTGCTGTGAGGAGAGGCTGAGGGAGCTGGGGGGGCTCAGCCTGGAGAAGAGGAGGCTCAGGGGAGACCTCCTCACTCTCTGCAACTCCCTGCCAGGAGGGGGGAGCCAGGGGGGGTTGGTCTCTTTTCCCAGGCAACCATCAGCAAGACAAGAGGGCTGGGTCTGCAGCTGTGACCAGGGGCGTGTTAGGTTTGGAGATTCGGAAGGACTTTCTTTGCAGAGAGGGTGCTCAGCCATTGGAATGGGCTGCCCAGGGAAGGGGGGGATTCTCCATCCCTGGAGGTTTTTAAGAAGAGACTGGATGTGGCATCAGTGCCATGGGCTGGGAACCACGGCGGGGTTGGATCAAGGGTTGGACTGGATGATCTGGGAGGTCCCTTCCAACCCAGCTGATTCTGGGATTCTGTGATTCCTGGGGCACTTCTGGGTTGGTTTTGTTCCTGCCTGCAGTTGAGCTCTCTCAGAACTGTAACATCCCGAGGACAGACACGACCCTAAGCTGACCAGTCCTGCTGTGTGTTGCAGGGAAGCCGCCCGGGAATGCCGCAGGAAGAAGAAGGAGTACGTGAAATGTCTGGAAAATCGAGTGGCAGTCCTGGAAAACCAGAACAAAACTCTAATTGAAGAACTAAAAACTTTGAAAGATCTTTACTGTCATAAAAGTGTGTAAGAAAAGAAGGTAAAAACCTTTGGGGACTGGTGAAATTTCAGAGGAGAAGTTTTTTTTTTTTTTATACTGAATTTTTTTAAACTAGATGAAAGGTCAAAAATGAAACTTTTCTACCTAGATTTCACAGCTCAAAGACTCTATAGATTTTATTTTACAACGTGTTGGTGACAAAGTACAAAAAAGGAAACAAGAAAACCTCACCAAAATTCCTGCTGGCACAACTGGAAACTGATAAAAGTCAAGATTGCAGCTGCAGTGGAAGGACAGTCACGTGTGACGAGGCAGGTGATGAGAGTTTCTTTGAGAATTCCTACCAATACCTCTGATAATGGAGGCAAAATTTGGTTCCAGTGAAAACGTGGATGAAATGGAATCCTTGCCATAGCTGACATTATTAGTAACATTTATAACCAGTGTATGTTTTGATTTCTTACTCTTTTTCAATCCTTTTTCCTTCAGTTACTTGTCTGTAAATATTTTTATTTTAACCTGTAAGTTGGTATTTACAGGTGCAGGTGATAACTTTGCTCGAGGTATAAATTATGTTTTTCCTCTTTCTCAGATGGCAGTTGAAAAAAGTTGGGATGATTTTTATCCATGTTTGCTGTGTTTTATCAGATTTGGGAAAAGGAGCTGCAGAAGGCAGCGAGAGGCCTGGGCCTGGAAATGTCTGAGGCACAGGAAACTGTGCTGATTTTCCCCAGACAATTCAACACATCCCTGATTTTTAAAGCACAGTGTAGTGGGACAGGGACTGATGACAAAAGTCCTGAAGAATTTCTGAAATTTAAAACTTCTGGAAGTTTAATGTCACAGGAGGTTTGTTCTTAGTTCTGGGCAATATGAGAAACATCAATCACTGAAAATTAAATTGTGTTACAATTAAACACTCAGTGGCTGGGGATTCTCCTGGGCTTTGGAACATGAAACCAAATAGAAGAGAAAGGATGCAGTAAAAAATGGAAGATCTATACCAAAGGGTTACGAGGTTCTAGTTTCTGGGTTATTGCTGGAAGTAGTGCAAAATTACCATTTTCAGCCTAATTTTGTAAGGTAGGAACTATTTTGCCAAGTGACGGTGTCTTTGTAAGCAAATATTCTATTGCAAACAGGGAGATGGTTGGTATATTTTGTAGCTAAATTGTGATCTTTACAAAACCTGAAATTGAGTTTCTATACGTATTTTGACAGTTTATATATTTCATTTTAGTAACCAAATGAAATATTTTGTGAACCAGATTTTCAAGGATATATTTTTATGGATAGTACAAAGTCAAATGAGATTCCTCTTTGGTGTAGGAGATATTTGAATTAATTTTGTATGTCTGTGGGCAACCTGCAAAAAAAAAATGGATCCTAAAGAGTATTGGGGGGGAAAAAAAAAGAATAAATAATAAAGAAATCAGGGCTTTTTACTCCCCACAGTTGAGAGTATCTGCACATTAGATCTGATTGTGTCAGAGGGTTCAGTTTGTACACTTTTAATTTGTTTCAGGTGAAAATTAAGTGTTTGACGTGATCAGGACTCTTTTGGGTGGGGAATCTCCGTTCTTGGAGATCCCCAGAGCCGTCTGGGGAGGACGTGGACCTGGGCAGGTTGTGGGCTTGGGCAGGATGTGACCCTGGGCATTTTGTGACCCTGGGTAGGTTCTGACCCTGGGCAGGATGTGACCCTGGGCAGGTTGTGGGCTTGGGCAGGATGTGACCCTGGGTAGGTTGTGACCCTGGGCAGGCTGTGACCCTGGGCAGGCTGTGACCCCGGGCAGGCTGTGACCCCGGGCAGGTTGTGACCCTGGGTAGGTTGTGACCCTGGGTAGGTTGTGACCCTGGGCAGGCTGTGACCCTGGGCAGGTTGTGACCCTGGGCAGGCTGTGACCCTGGGCAGGCTGTGACCCTGGGCAGGCTGTGACCCTGGGCAGGTTGTGACCCTGGGCAGGTTCTGACCAGGTTGTGACCCCAGGCAGGCTGTGACCCTGGGTAGGTGCTGACCAGGTTGTGACCCCGGGCAGGCTGTGACCCTGGGCAGGTGCTGTAGGTGACCCCCCTGAGCAGGGGGTGGGACAGGAGGACCCCCAGAGTCCCATCCCCCCAGTCCCATTCCAGGAGGGCTCTGGGAACGCTCCCACCGTGTCTGCAGCGCTTTTGCATGAGTAACAACCCCCCATTTCCATAGCTGGGATCGAATCCCAATCCTGCTTCCAGTTCTGTCAGCGGGAATTGCACTGTGGGCTGTGCTGTCCCCAGGGGTTGGAGCTCCCTGTGTGTCGTGCTCGCTCGGATCCGGGTGGAATTCCAAGCTCTGCTCCCTCCCTGGATGTGTGATGCTTATCCCATGGTCAGTCAGGATTTTTGATTTTACTCCTTTGGGAATGAATGGACTTGTAGCAAGCAGAGCTCTCTGCCATGAGGAGTCTGCATTCCACGATCTCCTGGTTAGTGGGTCATAAAAGGGTGTTTTTTCCTGCAGTTTCTAAATCTCTGGTTGTTCTGGACACGAGTCCTGAGGCGTTTCCCTTAGGCCAGGCTGGAGTTGACTCCTGGTTGCCACCCTGCCAGAAAAGAGCTTTTTGGCACATCAGAAACGAGGTTGGGAAAGTCCTGACCTGAGGGAGCTGCTCCTGGAGAGGTGTCAGTGCCTCCTGTTTCTTTGGTGGAATCTCAGGACAAACGAACAGCCCGGAGTGTGAACCTCAGAGATCTGGACCTTTCCCCTCAGGTGTGTGTGTGTTACCTGGAATGTGTGAGAGAGGCTTTGACCTGCAGTTCTGAACTGCTTTGGGAACTCTGTGGTAGCTGATCCTCACTGGGTATTCTCCTTTTCCTCTTGTAATATGGAATAATAATAAACAAAACCTATCAAATGTTGAGGCTGTAGAACCGTGGTGGCCAGTTCTTTGTGTGTCCAACACCTGCCCTGCTGCCAGACACACCAGGAGTCAAGTTTTATCCTCTTTTAAAACAGTGTGTTGGAAAGAGCAGCTGATTTTTCATCATGGGAATATTAAACAGTAACACGAGTTTCGCTCTTTAATCACTGACCATGAAGTTCTTAATTTGGATTTACTTTAAAATCTCGATTGTAAAGAGTAAAGTCTCACTCCTGAGGGTAAGAGGTGCAGCACCCAGTGCTGCTCTGCTGGTTGGTTCCAAACAGTCCGTGCTTTCCATGATTTGTAAATATTTGTTGAAACAATTAATGGTTGCAAATTTTGACCTTGGTAAATAAAGTCGCCAAAATATTATAATTCTGATGGTCCCTATTTATTTTTAACTAGCACAGAACTGCAGTGGTGCTGTCCAGGTGGAAATACCTCTGTGGGATCGGGTCATAAGGTGGCCAGAAATAATTAATTGTCAATTTTAGCGGATGAAAGAGCACCTGCCATGCTAAAAATCGTGAGTGCAGAACAACTTTTACCTTTCTGCAGGGGATTTTTTACCTTCTTAGATTTCAATAAGCTGAGCCACAGCTGAGGTTTGGTTAATTAAATGGTTAATTAAAACCTCTGTGTGCTCTGCTGGCTTTTACCCGGCAGAGGGAGCATCTGCCATCCACAAACCCTGGTGGCATCACCGAGTGTATTTAACCTTCTGGTGGCTGGAAAGGCGCAGAAATAGGGTGGGAGGAAAGTGTTGCCAGTTGATAACATCCCTCTATTCAATTTTCAGCATTAGGGCCAAGGCTGTTGCCGTTTCCTCTCCCGTCAGTGTGGATTTCAGAGGCAGGAAACAAAAAAAACCCCCACACAATTGCAAACACGACTCCTAAAAAGTAAGTGCACGTCCTTTGGCTCTGGGATTTATTGTGAGCTGGTTTTTCCCAAGCTTTCCCAGGCAGGGCCAAGGAGGGAGCTGGTTTTTCCCAAGCTCTCCCAGGCAGGGCCGAGCTCCGCGATGGTGCCACGCTGGGTTTGCCCCTCTTAGAAGGTCTGGGTGAGCACCGTGTGTGCCACAGTCAGGAGGAGGGTGAGCGTGGTGCCCGTGGGTTTTGGAGTCCTGCTGGTCAGCTTAAGTTTTGTCTTGATCCATGTCCTGTACTGGGACAGCCGGACGTAGATCCCGGGGTATTTGGGGCGGCCGCAGCCGACTCCGAAGCTGGCGATGCCGATCAGGTAATACCTGTCGGGGTGGTAACACACCAAGGGGCCCCCGCTGTCGCCCTGCAGGTAAAACACCACGAAACCCCAGTAAGGTGGAAAGGCAGAATCCAGGCAGTAATAAATGCAGGGTTTTAACTTTAGGCAGCTCAGTTAATGACAGCAGCGGTGATGGTAACGTTGGCGGGAACATGGACAAGTCAAGGTAAGTGTGGTGACACTGAATCGGAATCCTTGAGGTTGGAAAAGCCCTCCAGGATCACCGAGTCCAACCTGTGCCCCATCCCCACCTTGTCCCCCAGCCCAGAGCCCTGAGTGCCACGTCCAGGCCTTCCTTGGACACCTCCAGGGGTGGGGACTCCACCACCTCCCTGGGCAAGGCCTGACCACCTTTTCCATGAAGAAATTCCTCCTGATTCTGCTCAAGACACTGCCCTGACCAGAATCCCAGGCCTGCACTGCTTCAGTGTCTTTAAAGTTCTGTTGTTTTCTCTCTGCACCTTTTCATGCCAAGCCTTGTCTCCCTCAACTCCTCACTCCTCAGTTAACTGGGGAATGTGTTGTCCACACAGTGTGGAAGCACCAAGACACATGGTAAGGAACACACATCCTGATTCTTGGCTGTGTCACCTACTCAGAGAAAACTGCTGAGGGAAGCAGGAAGTGTATCAGACAAAGCACATTATGGGGTTTAATTATAAATGTCTCCATGTCCCAGCTGGTGCTGCAGCTTCTGCCAGTGCTTCAGACACAAGAATTGGCTTTTCTGAGAAAGAGGTGGTGATTGCTCAGCCACTGGAATGAAAGCCCTGCCACATCCCTGAGCCACATCCCTGAGCCACATCCCTGAGCCACATCCCTGAGCCACATCCCTGTGCAGTGCTGCTGCTCTCTTCCAAAAGCATAAAAACAGGTGGCACACTGGTGTGCTTCACACACGCTCCATGGCACAGCAACACGTGTGTCCAGTGTCATATATGATTTATTGTCACCTCCGTGGCACAGATTTGTTGCATCCTTTAACCTTTCCCTTTGTTCAGCACTCACAGGCCCTTGCCACGTCTCTGATGTCACCAAACGTGCACCTGAGGTATTTCTGCTTCGCCATCACCGTCCCACCCCTCTTTCTGACGCTTCCTTTGCCTTTGGCCTGTTTTCCAGTTGGCATTCCTGCTGTTTTAATTGCTCCTGCTGCCCTTGAGCCACCCCCCTCTCACCTGGCAGGTGTCGGTGCCCCCGGCCCAGGCGCCGGCGCAGAGCACCCTGTGGTCCATGAGCCCCGCGTAGCCCTCGGAGCTGTTGCACAGGCTGGGAGGGAGGATTTCCACCCGGGCTTCCTTCAGCACAGGTGAGATTTTACCTGGAATGGAGGCAGAATTCAGCCAGGTGAAATGTGCTGGGGGGTGTGGGGAGCGGGTTTTTTTTTGCTGTGCTTTTTTCCCCCCCCCGTCTCCCCAGCTGGGACGTGTTCAGGCCCGGATGGGACACGGATCCTGCCTGCTCCTGATGGATTGGAACTGGAGTGGGTTTGCAGACTTGGGTTTGATGGACATGTTGCAGTTCTTCCTCAGAAGAAGCAGCAGTGGTAATACACCTGCCTCGCTCCAAGTGTCAGAGGTGACTTATCTAAAGGGCTCATGTGATCCCAGAATTCCCATTGGCATCGAGTTTGTGCCCAGTAGGATTAAAGAGAGAACTGGAAGGAGTGTAGTCATTCCTAAATCCCTGGGGACCCCCCAGTTCACAACATGCAGCGTCAGAATTGTTGCTTTTTGATAGAAAAGCTGTTTCCAGCAGACCACAAATCTGAAAGTCAGGTGAGTTGGTTTTGGGGTTTTTTTTCATGTTTTTCTTGGAAGAAAGGCTGGGAAATGTATTCCTGTGGTTGCAGCTGTGTGGATCTAACCTGGTCATGATGGAAAAAAGCCCTGGAAGCAGATTCTCACTGCAGAGAGTTTAATGAAGTTGTGTGAGGGGACCATAACCTGAGCAAATCCAGTTGGAATCACGGATGGTTTGGGCTGGGAGGGACCTCAAAGACAATAAATTCCACCCTCTGCCATGGGCAGGGATATCTTCCACTAGCTCAGGTTGCTCCAAGCCCCGTCCAACCTGGCCTTGGACACTTCCAGGGATGGGGCAGCGTCCTCTGGGAAATGCATTCCAGGGCCTCCCCACACAGGGAGGCATTCCTAATATCCCTAATATCCTTCCTAATATCCCTAATATCCTTCCTAACATGCCCCTGTTTCAGTGGGACTCCATTCCCCTGGGAAGGCCGGGCATGGCAGGCAGGCAGGAAGGCAGGGCCCATTAACCTTCTTGGCAGTGCCCCACACAGGGAGGCATTCCTAATATCCCTAATATCCTTCCTAATATCCCTAATATCCTTCCTAATATCCCGTTCAACCCTTCCCCATTTCAGTGGGACTCCATTCCCCTGGGAAGGCCGGGCATGGCAGGAAGGCAGGGCCCGTTACCCTTCTCGGCTGTGTGCCACACAGGGAGGCATTCCTAATATCCCTAATATCCTTCCTAATATCCCTAATATCCATCCTAATAACCCATTCAACCCTTCCCCTTTTCAGTGGGACTCCATTCCCCTGGGAAGGCTGGGAATGGCAGGCAGGCAGGAAGGCAGGGCCCGTTACCCTTCTTGGCAGTGCCCCACACAGGGAGGCATTCCTAATATCCCTAATATCCATCCTAACATCCCCCTGTTTCAGTGGGACTCCATTCCCCCTGGGAAGGCTGGGAATGGCAGGCAGGCAGGAAGGCAGGGCCCGTTAACCTTCTTGGTAGTGCCCCACACAGGGAGGCATTCCTAATATCCCTAATATCCATCCTAACATCCCCCCATTTCAGTGGGACTCCATTCCCCTGGGAAGGCCGGGCATGGCAGGCAGGCAGGCAGGGCCCGTTACCCTTCTTGGCAGTGCCCCACACAGGGAGGCATTCCTAATATCCTTCCTAACATCCCCCCATTTCAGTGGGACTCCATTCCCCTGGGAATGGCAGGCAGGCAGGCAGGCAGGGCCCGTTACCCTTCTCGGCGGTGCGGCCCCAGCCGCTGACGTAGCAGTCGGAGCCGTTCTCCAGCTGGGGCTGCAGCGGCGCGGGCGGGAGGCAGATGGGCTGGATGTGGAGGCTGGACTGCACGGCCGAGCTCAGCTCGAACACGGCCACGTCGTTCTCAAAGGTCTCGCTCTTGAACTCCGAGTGCACCAGGATCCTCCTGATCCTCCTCTTGGCCGTGTGGGGGCCGTGCCTGTGCAGGTTGTGCAGGCCCAGGACGGCGCGCCAGAAGCACGGATTCCTGCGGGGGGATGCGCGGTTTGACTGGGTTTAGGGAATCGTGGGATGGGTCGGGTTGGGTTGGGAGGGACCTCAAAGCCCATCCTGTTCCCCCCCGCCATGGGCAGGGACACCTTCCACTACACCAGGTTGCTCCAACCTGGCCTGGGACACTTCCAGGGATGGGGTGTCCTCTGGGAAATGCATTCCAGGGCCTCCCCACCCTTACAGGGAGGAATTTCTTCCCGGTGTCCCATCTAAGCCTGCCCCCTTTGGCTCGTGCACCTTTAGGAATAGGTATTGAAAATTCCAGAGTCAATGTTCTCCGGAAGGAATCTGCCTCGTTCCCCTTGTCCCTGGGAACACTCACTTTGCCTAATGCTGGTGGCTGTTCAGGAAAATTCAGGTTAATGATTTAAGCTGAAACTTGGATTTTCCCTCCCACCCCATCTCAGCAGAGGCCACCAGGAGATATTCTTCTGAAAAGGCTAAAAACTTGGATTTATTTTGCAGACAGGAAGGAGGCTCATCCCCCACAATGCTTAGAAAGACTCTGCTTGTACCTGGATTAGGGAAATCCATTAACTAGAAGTAACAATAATGAATATGAAATTTAGAAATAGGGTTGGAGTCTTTCAGACCTAATTTCTAGTTCATGTATGCTGAAAAAAATCTTTACTGGTATTAAGTGGGATTTGAATTTGGCCTGGGATGAGCTATAAAATTCAGATTAACCTCCAAAATTAAGGTAAAAATTAAATTGATAATTTAAAGAGGCATTATATTGCAAATAAATGATTGTTAAATTCATTTAAAGAAACAGGGAGTTGATGTAACAAAGTCCCGATGAAGGATGAAATTCCAAAGTTCAGGGATTTTACAGTTCACTTTCCCTCAGGGTCATGGCTGTGTCAACACAGTCGATGGAAACTGGTGCAGATTGTGCAAGTGTGGCAAAGGCCACAGTTAAAAGTCTGTTCTGAGCAGTTGTTACCACATTGTGAAAAAAAAACCCACCAAAAACCTGGGCTCATGTGCAGCTGCTGTCACCAACACCCCCAGGGCCTTTCCTGGGGCCACTTCCATCTGCAGGGACAAATGGGACTCTTGCAAGTTGACTTTACTGATTGTGCTGCACCCAGCGACTGGAACTGGGGAGACTGGGAGCCAAACATGGGAGACTGGGAGCCAGACGTGGGAGACTGGGAGCCAAACGTGGGAGACTGGGAGCCAAACATGGGAGACTGTGACCCAAACGTGGGAGATTGTGGCCCAAACGTGGGAGATTGTGGCCCAAACGTGGCAGATTGTGGCCCAAACGTGGCAGATTGTGGCCCAAACGTGGCAGATTGTGGCCTAAACGTGGCAGATTGTGGCCCAAATGTGGGAGATTGTGAGCCAAACGTGGCAGATTGTGGCCCAAACATGGGAGATTGTGACTCAAACGTGGCAGATTGTGACCCAAATGTGGGAGATTGTGACCCAATCTGCCCCCAGCCCAGCTGGTCCCCCCCGGTGGTGTCCCGCCGTGGTGCCAGCCCGGTGCCAGCCCGGCCGTACCTCCTGCCCTCGACGCAGTGCCCGGCGGTCAGCACGGCCTTGCGGCTCAGCAGGACCCCCCCGCAGAGGTGGATGAACCGGACGCCCCCTCGCAGGACCTGCAGGCTCACGACCCACGGCCACGCGCCCTCCGGGGCCTCGTGGCCCCCCACGATCCAGGACGTGGCTCTCCGGGCCAGGGGCGGCTGCTGCTGACACTCTGCAAAAAAACACAACAGGGGAGGGGGTTTAGGGGGGAAAAACAGAGCTTTTTTTGGGGAGGGTCTGGGTGTTATTGGGTTGGTTGCGTTGGGGTTTTTGGTTGGTTGGGGTTTTGGGGGGATTTTTTTAGGTGTCTTGTTGTTTTGTTGGTTTTTTTGTTTGGTTTGAGTTGTTTTGGTTTTTTTTTCAATCTCCAGCGTTCCCACAGCACAGGAAGGAAGTGGAGCTGTTGGAGCAAGTCCAGAGATGCTCCAAGATGATCAGAGGGATGGAGCAGCTCTGCCATGAGGAAAGGCTGGAGAATTGGGATTGTTCAGCCTGGAGAAGGGAAGGCTTTGGGGTGACCTCACTGTGACCTCCCAGTGCCTGAAGGGAACCTGCAGAAAAGGTGCAGAGAGACTATTTCCAAGGGCCTGGAGTGCCAGGACAGGGGGGAATGGCTTCAAAGTGCCAGCAGATTTTTAGATGGGATTTTGGGAAGAAATTCCCCTCTCTGAGGGTAGGGAGGCCCTGGAATGCATTTCCCAGAGGATGCCCCATCCCTGGAAGTGTCCCAGGCCGGGTTGGAGCAACCTGGTCTAGTGGAAGGTGTCCCTGCCCATGGCAGGGGGTGGAACTGGATGATCTTTAAGGCCCCTTCCCACCCAAATCGTCCTCGCTGCCTTGGAGGATCCCGGGACTTCTTGGCTGGTATCAAATACGTGTTTCTATCTTACTAAGGTGCATCCCTCACGCGTAGATTTGACATTACGCATCTCGAGGCGCTGCTGCTGCTTCACGACCCCCCCCCCCCTCCAAATTCAGGTGCAGACGAAGTTTTTCCTCGCGTCTGTGTGGAAGCACCCCCCCCCCACACACACACACACCCGCCCCCAACTCCTCCCCTCAGCGCCCGGCCCCCTCACGCCCTTCCCCGGTGTCCCGGTGGGTCCCGGTACCCTCGCTGGGGTCCCTCGGGGCCGCTCCCCCGGGCCGGGGCCCCGCGAGCAGCAGCAGGAGGAGCAGCAGCAGCAGCGGCGGCACCGCGGGCCGCCCCCGCCGCATCTCCGTCGAGGGGCGAAGATGGCGGCGGCGCCTCAGGGAAACCCCCCCCCCCCCGGGGGAACGGCCGGTGCCGGTGTCCGCACGGGGCCGTTGGGGCGGCGGGGACGGTGCGGGGAGAGCGGCCGGAGGGGCTGCGGGGGACGGGAGGGGCCGCGCTGCCCTCAGGGACCGACCGACCCTCCCTCGGGGACCGGCCCTGCCCTCCCTCAGGGACAGACTGGCCCTCAGGGACCGGCCCTCCCTCAGGGACCGGCCTTGCCCTCAGGGACCGACCGGCCCTCCCTCGGGGACCGGCCCTGCCCTCCCTCGGGGACCGGCCCTGCCCTCCCTCGGGGACCGACCGGCCCTCTCTCAGGGACAGACTGGCCCTCAGGGACCGGCCCTGCCCTCAAGGACTGACCGGCCCTCCCTCAGGGACCGGCCTTGCCCTCAGGGACCTACCGGCCCTCCCTCAGGAACCGGTTGGTCCTGCCCTCAGGGAGCCCTCGCAGGAGATGCCGTTCAGGGGGGCTTACCCTCACCTAGGCGAAGGATTTGGGGTCTCACCTTCACCTGGGCAAAGGTTCAGGGGTCTCACCCTCTCCTGGACAAAGTTTCAGGGGTCTCACCCTCCCCTGGGCAAAGTTTTAGGGGATGTCCTTCTCACCTGGGTGAAGAGTTGGGGATCTCCTCTTCACCCGGGCAAAGGGTCAGAGGTCTCACTCTCACCTAGGCAAGGGTTTAGGGGTCTCATCCTCTCCTGGGCAAAGGTTCAAGGGCCTCACTCTCACTTGGGCGAAGGTTTAGGGGTCTCGCCCTCAGCTGAGTGAAGGTTCAGGGGTTGTACGGTCACCCGGACAAAGGCTCAGGGGTCTCACTTTCACTTGAGCAAAGGTTTGGGGGGGATCTCACCCTCCCCTGGGTGAAGGGTCAGGGTTTGGGGTTTGCTCGGGTTCCATCAGGAGGAACAGGAACAGCCGTGAGGGATCGTGAGGAGGGAACAGGGGGCCCAATGGAGCCCCGGCCACATCCCAGGTGAGGAACACCTGAAGGAATCCCATCCCAGAGTTAACCAGGCACAGGCAGCAGTTCCCTTCCATTAATACATTTATTTTCCTGTCTGCTGGGCTGGTTTATGTTCTCCTGGGATCCTCTGTATCTGCGCTGGGCTCCAGCGAGGCAGGGTCAGCAGTGCCAGGGCTTCACGAGGGAAACGGCCTCGAGTCCCACCAGGGGAGGTTTGATTAGAGATTAGGAAAAATTTCTTCATGGAAAGGGCTGTCAGGCACTGGAACAGGCTGCCCAGGGCAGTGGTGGAGCCACCATCCCTGGAAATGTTCAAAAAACGTGTGGATGTGGCACTTGGGGACATGGGTTAGTGGTGACCATGGTGCTGGTGCTGGGTTAACTGTTGGACTCTGACCCAAAAGGGCTTTTCCAACCTGACCAGTTCTGTGATTCAGAGACGCTCAGAAAACAGACCCTCTCTTCTCGCTTAACACTTAATTCAGTTTCTGATTTAAGTCCTTCACCGAGAGAGGGACGTGCTGAGGAGCCTGTGCCGTGCTGGGTGTGCTGGTCAGGACGAGGAATTTTGGGGGCACAGGGAGCAGCCGGGCAGGACAGGGGTTACTTCACCCCGTACCCCACGATGTGCGGCTCGATGGGCGTCCAGGGCAGTGCAAGACTTATGTGTTGTACCTTCAGCTCCGAGAACTTGGCCTCTTCCAGACTCTTCCAGAGCTCTCTCGTGAGGCAGCATCCAGCAAAGACGAGTTTCCAAGTCGGGAAGCAGACCTGCTGCCAAAAATACTTCCAGCTGGAATGCTCGGCGGCCACGTGCTCCAAGAAGTAGAAAGCTCCTCCCTGGGAACACAGAGTCTCTTACAGTGAGTGTGGGGGTCATGCTAAGCAGCTCCCACTGTCCTGTCCCTTCCCTTTTCCCTCTTCTCCTCCCTGTATCAGTTGGAATTACTGAAAGCAGGAAACTTGCAGAAATTCAAGAAGCACAAAGAATTGACTTATTTGATCCCTCTTTTATTCCAGCAATAACTTGTTATGGCTTTGTTTCAGTTAGTCGCTAACATGACTTTTTTTCCAAAGAAAACCAAGAGAAATGTGTAAATGCTGCTCCAACCCATCGGTTTTGGACAACCCAGAGGATTGTCTTTCAAACCGACAGAGAACAGATTTTAGATGGGATATTGGGAAGAAATTCCCCCCTGTGAGGGTGGTTTTAATCTGCAGCTCATCAGCAGCTCTAGGGGAGAAGGTGTTTAATTAGACTGGTCTGGTCATGCAGGTGGAGCAGCCCCACTTCAGAGAGGCCGAAGCAGTTCATTTAAAATCCAGACTTTCAGCCCTGATCAGAACTTCCCACCCAAGGAAAGTCGTGTGAGTGGGAAGGGACAGCACCACATTCTGCTTTAAATGATGGACTGTGAAGCAATTTCAGTTAGCAGTGTGTTGCTTTTAGGATTTTACTCTTAAGACTAAACCAGTCTGACCAGTATCACGTGCAGAATGGCTGCAGGAACCAACCCGGGTCTGGTTTTTAAGCTCAAAACCAATTCTTTATACTATTTTCCCCCCTTTCCTCGTGGCAAGGTGCCTCTGGAGCGGCTGATAAAGGTTTAATGCAGGTACTCACCGGCCGGAGCACCCGCAGCACTTCCCTCAGGGTGCCGCTCACGCTCTGAACCGAGCACAGCACCAGGGTACAGACCACGGCGTCCACGGAGCCGCTGGGCACCTGGTGCAGGTCCTCCCCTGCGGCCACCAGGAAACGCTCGTAGTGCAGGTGCTGGTTCTTCTTCATGTTCTTGGCGAGGCTCTCCTGGAAGCTGGGGTTGATGTCGGTGCAGGTGACCCTGCAGCCCGAGGGGTAGAACTGGAAGTTGGAGCCGGCGCCGGTGCCGATCTCCAGCAGCCGCAGCTCCCCCGAGGGGCTCCGGAAGTCGGGGAGGTTCCGGAACAGCTCCAGTTTGTGCTTCTTTGATTTCTTGTCGTGAACTGCGGCGATCTTGTCTAAGATGAAAGGGAAAAACACCTTCCTGCAGAAGGGCTCCCACACGCCCAGGAAGGAGAGCAGGTAGACGGGGAAGGCGAGCAGCACCAGGCAGGTGCGGAGGAGGAGGACGCTGGCACCGGCCTCTGCCATTCCCAGCGTGGGCAGAGGATCTGCACGGGGCAGAACAACTTCTGCTGTGTGTTAGAGCCCTGGGAGCTCAGACAGAGCTGCCTTCGGGTGCTCCCTGTGCTCCCGTCCGAGTACGTTCAGCTCCTTGGACTGTCCTGGTGGACTCTTTTCTCCAGCTGATTTCCAAGTCCGGTCACGGGCAAGCGGTGACCAGAGTGTCCCGACTGGCAGGGGAGGAGCTGCCGGTTTGTTCCCAAACCGGGACAAACTGGGCAGCACAACTGTGTGTGTAACCCCTGGCAAAGTGTCTCCGAGTGCCCTCTCTTGGCGCTCGGCAGCTCCAGCACGGTCACGTCTCTTAAAGCCGCCTGTGCTGCCCTGGGGGAGCTGAAGGGAGCTCAGCCCGGCTCTGGAGCTCCGTAAGAATTTCATTAGGGGGTTGATTAAAGTCTCAGTTCAAACACACTTGTCTGGGAGTTGATTTTCCACCCGGTGTGAGCAGCTGGGTGAGCTCAGCAGCTCCATCCTCTCTCTGAACTGCACTGAATCTCCACTGAAAAGAGTTTTCAGTCTTTGCAGTTCGAGGACACCTTAAATCCTTTGGGATGTTGGGAGCGGGCTCTGGGAGCTGCTGTTCGGGGCGATTTTCCAGATTGATGGGCAGAGATAACACAGTTTATTAATTCAGTAGTTGCTTGCTGCATGTGCAGCATGTGGGGTTTGGGGTTTATTGACTTAAAGTCGAGTCAACACGGGCTGCTCCAGAAAGCTTTGTCAACTTTGGGGTGGCCAGAGCTTTCCAAAGGATTTGGTGGCAGTGTGGATGAGCCACGAACAGGGGACTGCTCTGCTCCAGGTGACAGGAGGACTCAAAAGCCCCTGAAACCCTCGGGATGAGCACTCCCCAACAACCTTAGGCCGTTCTGCTGGGAATTGCGTTGGAGTTTTGTTTTCCTGGGAGTGCCTCCGGTGCGTCCCCTCCTCCCTCTGGTGGCAGTGAAGCAAATTAAACCCAGGAGTAATTAGGTGCTTCATTAACGAGCTCTGTTGTGTCTTCATGCCTCCACCTCGTGGCAACTACAGACAGATTGAACAACGGGAATCACAGAATCGTTTAGGTGGGGAAAGACCTCCAAGATCATGGAGTTAATTACTCTGGGTTGCATGTGGGAAGCACAAATAGAGGCAGTAATGGATTATTTTATTATAATCTGGTTGTATATCAGGTTGTAATTCCTTGCTGCTGTGCTGCAGGGAATCATGGAAAAGGTTAAAGTGGCCAAGGAAGCAGCACCCGCTCTTGGTGTCCCGGGGGAATTTCCCTGGAAATCATTCCTAAGGAAACTCCTGTGTTTAAAAGGTGGGAGTGAGGTTGGAGGGAGAGTAGAAAATGCAGATCTTAAGCACAGGTGTAAGGTGTTAGCAGAGGTCACTGCACTGAAGGGGAAGGAGAGGTCGGGATGAACCAAGGAGGAGGCAGGATCCTTATTAAACATTTTTAATTGTTTTTTTCCTGAGCACCTGTGTGCTGCTGAAGGACCAGGCCCAGTGACAATGCTGATGAAGATGAAGATGATGATGGTGCTGAAGGACCAGGCCCAGTGAGGATGCTGATGAAGATGAAGATGATGATGATGATGAAGGACCAGGCCCAGTGAGGATGCTGATGAAGATGAAGATGATGATGATGATGAAGGACCAGGCCCGGTGAGGATGCTGATGAAGATGAAGATGATGATGATGCTGAAGGACCAGGCCCGGTGAGGATGCTGATGAAGATGAAGATGATGATGATGCTGAAGGACCAGGCCCGGTGAGGATGCTGATGAAGATGCTGCTGCTGCTGCTGAAGGACCAGGCCTGGTGATGATGCTGATGAAGATGAAGATGATGAAGATGCTGCTGAAGGACCAGGCCTGGTGCCGATGAAGATGATGAAGATGCTGATGAAGGCCTGGTGCCGATGCAGGCCCGGTGCCGGTGCCAATGCCTGCCCGGTGCCGGTGTCGGTGCCGATGCAGGCCCGGTGTCGGTGCTGATGAAGATGAAGATGCTGATGAAGGCCCGGTGCCGATGAAGATGATGAGGATGCTGATGAAGGCCCGGTGCCGATGAAGATGATGAAGATGCTGATGAAGGCCCGGTGCCGGTGCCGGTGCTGGTGCCCGGTGTCGGTGCCGATGCAGGCCCGGTGCCGGTGCTGATGAAGATGAAGATGCTGATGAAGGCCCGGTGCCGATGAAGATGATGAAGGCCCGGTGCCGGTGTCGGTGCCGGTGCCGGTGTCGGTGCCGGTGTCGGTGTCGGTGCCGGTGTCGGTGCCCGGTGCCCGCCCCGGGTCGGGGTTTCCCCGCTCCCCCCCTCCCTCTCCCTCCACCTCCGCCCCCCCCCTCCCCGCGCGTGCTCTCGGCGGCTCCGCAGCGCCCCCTGTCGGCGCGCTCGTGGCGGGCGGGGGCCGCGCGGCGCGGGGGGGGCCGGGCCGGGCGGGGGGGGGGGAGCGCCGGGAGCGCACCAAGATGGCGACACCCGCAGTCCCTCCCGCAGCTCCCCCCGCGCCGCAGTCCGGCCCCGCCGCGCCGGGGCCGCGCTGAGCCCGCCCGACACGGTGAGTTCGCGGCCCCCGGGGCCCCCGCCGGCCTCACCCGCGGCTCCCCGCGCTTACCGTCCCGTTCGGTTCGCCGCCTCCCCCGGGGGCTCTGCCGCAGAGCGCGGCCCGGGCGGCGCCGGGGACACCCCGTTGTGGTGGGGGGAGCTCGGGGGGGAGGTCGGGGAGTCCCCCCGGCCCCAAACCCGCCGCGGGAAGAGGGGGGGGGGTCCCGGGGCTTTTCCCCCCCCTTTCCCACCCGCCCCCTCGGGGGATGCTCGGTCACCCCGCGCCCGGGGAGGGGGGTCGGGGGGAGCCGGTTCTGTGCCCGCCCGGCGCTGCCCCCCGAGCCCTGTTCGGGGGGCTCCGGCAGCCCCTGCCCGGGCCGGGGAAGGTCCGTCCGCTGCAGCCCGAGGGCCCCGGCCCCGCGGAGGGGGGGGACGGTGCCAGGCCCGGGGTGAGTGTCCCCCCGCCGGGGGGCTGGGAAGGGGCAGGAGCCCCCTGCGCCCACCCTGGGCCTGCAGCCCCGTTTGGGCCCCCTCCACCCATCCCTCCATCGCTGCCCGCATCCCTCCCTCCCTCCACCCATCCTTCCACCGTCCCTGCATCCCTCCCTGCATCCCCCCTCCACCCCGCTGCCCGGGACCCTCCTCCCAGGCCCCAAATTGGGGGCCGTGCTCTTTGTCTGCATTGTGCCTTCCCCCCGGCCCTCCCTGCAGCGCTGCCCTGTCCCCCCGCCGCCCCCCGCTCCCCCCACCCCCATCTCCCGCTGCCCGGGGATGGGGGACAACTTGGAGGACAGGGTTTTTTTTGGGTGGGGGGCGATGCTCGGGGCGGCCTTGATGTTCCAGCTGACCCAGATGTTGGGTCAGCATCGTGGTTGTGCTCTTCCCTCTCTCCCTTCCTCCTTCCTTCCACCGCACAGATTTTGGGGTGGGGGTGGAGGGTCGGCGAGGGCAGGTTTGGTTTATATTATTTTTTTCTTTTTTTTTTCCTGCCGGGAGGGAATTGCACGTTCACAGGTTTGGGTGGGTTTTTTTCTTTTTTTTTTTTTTTCCTGTTAAAAATCTGGGTGTCTTCCTCCCCTCCCCTCCCCCTGCGTTCTGGTGCAAGCGATGCTCGGCTGCTGTGGGGGTGGGGACGCCGGGAGATGCTCCACGGCAGCGGCTGCGGATGAGCCGGGGTGAAGTCGGAAACTCTGGGAAAGGGGAGCGTGTGGTGTGCGAGGGCCAGCAGCTGGATTCCGCCCCTCGGGCCCTGAGCTGAATTTCGGAGGGTGATCCCAGGCGTGGGAGGCTCATCCTTGTGTTCCCCCCCCCTCCCCCGTGGGGTCTGCGGGAGTGTCCCCCCCCCCCATCCCCCGAGGGGCCGCACGGGTGGGGCGGGTTTTTGGGGCGCTGGTTGTGGTTGTGCTCTTGTGGATCCGCGTCCACCCTCTCCGGGAACACTGCAGCATTCCAGCCGCACCGGGAGCCGTGACCGGGACGTCCTCGCTTCACTCCGGGCAGCTCCGATCGCGAGGAACGGGCGGGCGGGGGGTCCCCGTCTCGTCCTGCCGGTGTTTCTGGGGGTGAAAAGGGGGGGAAGGCGTAGCGGTGGTGGTTTTCCCTGGCAGCCCTAGAGGGATGGGGCCCCGGGAATGGTTCTCTTTCCCTGTGTGGGTGATGGAAGCGCTGGGGGCCGGTTCCTCCAGCGGTGCCCGGGGCGGAAGGGCTGGGCGAGGCTGGAGGGGCCGGGGGGACCTTCCGCGGCTCCGGCGGGGCCGGTGCTGAAACGGACAGCTCCTCCCGGCCCTTCCCGGCTCCTCCCGGCTCCTCCCGGCCCTTCCCGGCGCTTCCCGGCCCTTCCCGGCTCCTCCCGGTTCCTCCCGGGGCCGCTCCCCGCCCGCAGCCGGGACCCCCATCACCGTCCCCTCGGGCCATCGCCACCCCCCGATGTCGCCGTTCCTGGGGGGGCAGGTGCCGTTATGTAAAGTTGGTGAAGCTGTTGGGCATCTCTGGGTATCCCCCGGCCAGGGGAGCCGGTGCCTTTTGGAGTAACGAGCCCCCGGCCGCGCTCCTCTGTCCGGATGTTTTCCGGACGGCTCCATCCTAAGGCCTCCCCGGTTTTTCCATCCTCTGCTCAGGTTTTCCATCCTCTGCCTGTCTAGAAAGTCCCTGTTCTTCGCCTCGGTGGGTTTTCTATAAAATTAACAGCATGACCCAAGGGCCACCAGATCATTTTTACGCATTTTGGTGCTTCCACGGCGTCGTTCACCCCGGGGGGAAGGACCCGGGCCCATCACAGACAATTTACCCAGTTATATAAGCTCGTACATGTGGCTTGGATGTGGATGGTGGTGTAGATGCTGTAGTGCTGGGGGGAACAAGTGTGATCCTGTGGATGCTGGGGGGGAAGGAGGTTTCTAAGAGGCAGGAGGGCGAGCGCTCGTGTGCCGCAGGAAATGGAGCAGGGCCGGGCCTTCCCCCCGTTAAATAAGGCAGAAACAAAGTCGGAGTGGGAAGGGAGCAGCTTCAAAACCCAAATCACGGCGTCACCTCCCCCCGTTTGCTGCCGTGTCTGTGCTCAGGGCCGGCTCTGCCCGAGTGTGGCTTTCACCAAAACGGCCCCAGCCGGGTTTTCACCTCGACTGGGAGGTGCTGGTTTCCAGTGGCTGGGGGTCCCTGAGGCTCCGTGGGGGTCCCTGAGGCTCCGTGTGGGTCCCTGAGGCTCCGTTGGGCTCCTGCCATGACGTGGTTCCCATTCCCTCTCAATCCCTTCCCCCGGAGCGGCTGCGACTCCACTGACAGGGGCAAATACGCCGGGATCAATAATTGATTGTTGGGCTCAGAGCAGGGGGCTGGGGGAGGGAGAAGCTGTAAAACAGAGAAACGAGGGAG